CCCCCAAAAAAAATATTTAAGTTTGTTTTTAAAAAATGTTTTCAATTTCAAAAATTATTTTCTACTCTAGTAAAAATAAAAGATATTTCTCAAAAATATTTTTCATTCATAAATCAAACACTAAAAATCTTTTTCGGAAAATATTTTTTAATCACCAACCAAACATGAGAAAATAAGTCAAAAATCAACTTGTTTTCCAGGAAAACATTTTCCTTCATACCAAACACACCCTAAATTTTGTCTGGCTATTTGTGTAATGATGCCTTATATAATAGTGTATGGGCTTATATCATGTTAGGCCCAAATACCTTTGTGATACAAAGCCCATTATATTTGTTTGATTTGCTCTTACAGAGCACCGTTACCGGCGAAGATGACCGCTGTACAACTGCCGAAGCAGAAGGTACATGTGCTGGAAGGACACGCCGGAGCTGTTTTGGCGGCGAGGTTCAATAGCAACGGCGAGTACGCACTGAGCTGCGGCAAAGACCGTACCATCCGGCTATGGAATCCTCACCGTGGAATTCACATCAAAACTTACAAAGCTCACGGCCGTGAAGTCCGCGATGTCCATGTCACTCAGTAACATTCTTATCTTTTCGTATTCTTCTTCTCTCAATTTTTTTTTTAGCTGAAGAGTATGAATAATCACGTCCTCTTTTACCTGCTCTTCATTGCATAACAATGTAGATGGTGGAAAAAGGAATTTTTGTGTTATTTTCTTTTTGCTTGTTTAAATTGTATTTGGTTTTAGGAGAAGTGAGGGGATGTAAAAGATAGGGGGAAAAAAGCTATCGGTTTACTTCTTCCAGGAGATGTTTTAGGATTCTTAGTTATAGCCTGATTATATTGGTTGGAAAGAGAGTAAAAGTTACTCCCTGTTTTAAATTGAATGTCTAATGTTAATTTTTCAGGTTGGTGAAGAAGGTTAAATCTTTCATTGTAAAGTATTTGTTGAGAGAATGTGTCGTGTGTAAGCTTTTTGGTTTTGTAGAATAAACTAGAGAAAATTGCTTGGACAATTTTAAAGGGGTTCCCTTGTAGAACCTTTCAAGGAATATATATATGTGTGTGTGTGTGTGCGTGTGTGCATGTATCTCATGTGGTTCTGTAAATAGTTTATTCTAGCTAGAGCGGACAAAATTTTCATACGAACTAAAAGAGAAATGTCGTCATTCAATTTGAAATGAGGGAGTATATATTTCTTCCTCCGTATCCACCTTTGGAGGGATTGGAAAAAAGATGAATATAGAAAGGGTATCTAATCCATCAACATATTCACTTATCCTCCTCTTTTTTACCTACACTAGCAATATAAGAAAAAGAAGATAACTAAGAACCTACACCATAATATGATTATGTACAAAAGCCACACATTCTTATATACAATTAGGGACCTCATGGGTGCTCCATAAAGAAACTAAAGGTACCCTCTCCATCCACCCTTTCTTATTTATTTCAATCAAGCATGGTGTTAATGCATAAGAAGATCCATGGCTGTTTTAGAAAAGCTGGTGAAGAGAACCCGAGACTAAGTTTTATTCCTATTTAAACTAAATTTTCTTAGGCAAATGTTGCCAGGTTCAGCACCTGAAGATATAATATGAGTTACTGTTTCATCTTGCAGCCAAACTTGATAAAAGCTTAAAGTTTTGTTTATCAGTAGTAAAAGATATCATTAACAAGAAGAAGAACACTAAGCTAGTGCATCAAAACATAGTTACAAATTGTGCAAATTCCCAATCATATCTAATATGGCATCCATATCTTTTATAAAGACCAGGTAGCACCAAAAAGCTAGCAAAGAAAGAGTTCTAAACTTAAGGCTAAGTATAATAGTATATTTGTTGATTTGCCTTCAAAATGTCTGTAGTTTCTTTCTGTCCAAATTGTCCACCAAATAACAATAGGAATCATGTTCTAAATTCTTTTTGTGTGAATACATAGTCTCTCTCTGATCCAGCTCTTCAAAAACTCCATAGACCAAGCTACTCCTAGAATTCCATTGAACAAGTTCCACTGCATGTGAGTTCTTACAATGCAAGAACAAATGACCGAAATCTTCAGGATGTTCTTCGCAAAGGGGGCATCTGCAAAGTTGGAAATCACATCGTTGAATTTTTTTTGAGTGGTTTAGGCTTCTCTAACCACTAACCAAGTGAGACAAGATACTTTCAGGGGCACTAATTGTGCCAAATCTTCTTCCAAGGCCAAAAATCTCTAATGTCAAAGCGTGATTTGACTGAAAAGTTACCACTTTGTTGACCCCTACAGGTTATGGAATCAATCTTTGATTGGTTCAGAAAAGTGTTATAGTTGACATGTACTTTGTACTTCCCAATCATTCAAGTTTCTTCTCAGAAAGAGATCCCATCCTTGAGCAGTACTCAGCTCTCTCAGCATTATATTGAGAAGATATGCAGTAAGTCTCGGAAACAAGTCTTTTAAAGGAGAGTGCCCCAATCAAGCGACTTCACAAAAGCTAATTTCTGTTCTTTTTCCAAGTGAGAAACCAGAATATCATTTAACTTGCTCCAAAATGAATGCATGTGCTTCCAGGTTCCTACTCTAAAATAAGTACTTGAACCTTTTGTAACCCAGGGACTTTCAAGGGAGAACTTTTCAACTAGAACCTGTTATAAAGCTTAAACTTCTAAGTACTTAACACTGGTGTTTGTCAACTGGGTATTTAATAATGAATGAAAAGGTTAAAGTCAATATACTGATTTAAAAAAGGAAAAGTCAGTGCGAAGAATTAAACTTTGTAAATAGTAACACATCTTGTGTGCATTTATATGTTTATGTTGGATATTGTATCCTTCTTTATAATCAAGTATTCAAGTCTCTAGAATTTAGATTATACGGTTTGATTTTATCATTCTTTTGGCCTGATTCCAAAGTCTTTTTAATGATGCAAAAATTTTGATGGCTCGTATGCCTCTACTGTTAATATTGTAGGGACAATTCAAAACTTTGTTCGTGTGGTGGCGATCGACAAGTATTTTATTGGGATGTCTCAACAGGTCATGTAATTCGCAAATTTCGTGGCCATGACAGTGAGGTTGATACAAATTCTTATTCCTAAATTCAAAATGTAAAGAAAGCTTCATTGGAAATTGTTAACGAGTATAATACATGAAGTTCTGTTCAAATCAGTTGGTAAATACTATATGGAGGCAGATCTTTTTCAGAAATATATTGTGAGAAAGTATAAGTTATAACCATTGAAACAATATATAGAGAAGTACTGCCACTACCATCACTAAGTATTGCCATGGGCCATCACTATTCGCAGATAGAAATTAATGCAACCTTCTATAGCTAATCCTATCATCATTAATTCACCATCACCACTCCAGCACTGCCTAGTATAGCTTTAGTGCCAACCTATATTTCCTGAAGCTGCTGCAACCCAACCCATCTACCTTGCATCTAACTGATTCAGCAGTGCATCCACTGCTTGTATAACAGTTTCCTCTTTTCTCTGCCAGGTGAATGCTGTGAAGTTTAATGAATATGCTTCTGTTGTAGTATCAGCAGGATATGATAAATCATTGCGTGTTTGGGATTGCAAATCTCGCAGCACTGAACCAATTCAGGTGAATAACTTCCCTTTGATTTGCAAGATCTATCTGGATAAGCATCTTCAGTAGCACTAAAAGTTAGGATTAAGCTTCTGCAAAACCAAATAAGTTGGATATGAGGAAATAAATTGGGTGGACCAAGTGTGCAACCTTTCATGTTAAACACCATGTCTAGGCTGAAGGGAATAGAGGTTTGTTTTTGAGTTGTGAATGGTGCTTTGATCTCTGACAATGTTTCAGATGGAAGGAAGGACTTATCCCACTATTGAACTCAAAAACACCCATCCATTGCTTCCTTGGGAGAGTATTTTCTCTTCTAATTCAATCCTCCGTAACACTGCAGAGACCAGAAGTCACAAAAATCAGAACTCATCTTCACATTGGATTATGTTAATAATATGTTCCTCAACTGATCTACTTTTTAGCTTAATTTGGAAAGTAAGTTCAAAGGAAGAAAAAAAAAACACTTGATCTTCAACTGGTAGGACTGTACAGGAAAAACTTACAAGGGAATAAACTCAATATGTAGTATAAGATGCAATCCGTGGACTATTTTTAGTATCAACACTCCACAGGTAATCAAATGAGAACAAGGAAAATGGACTTGGAGGGGAGAGGAGAGGAGAGAGAGATTTGGTAACTGAAACATCGATTCCATGAGAAATGTTTGGCCAAGACATGCTAGATTCCACCAAATGTACATATGGAACCTAATGAACATGTCATATGATATTAGAAGTTATAGAGGGTGTTTATGCTTGACTTGCTCTTTGTTTGGACATTCAAGACAGGGGTCCATTTATTTGACACCTACAGACGAGAATTTGACTCAATGAGAAATTTACTATGGACAGTTGAATTAGCCTACTTGGGATGTCGAGCGAAATTTCAATTTTACTCCTTTATTATGAGGCCCTTGGTGCCATCTTTTGTTTTTCCTTTTTGGTCTTTTAACGGATAACATATTTGAGCTGGTTTGTTTAATTTGCAGATCATTGATACCTTTCTAGATAGTGTGATGTCTATTTGTCTCACAAAAACTGAGATAATTGCTGGAAGTGTTGATGGAACAGTTCGAACATTTGACATCAGAGTTGGTAGGTATGTACTACTGCCTATATGCTAACATTGTTAGTTTCCTTTCTCATTTCTGCTCTGGGATGTTATATTCGAAAAGGATTGTTAGTTAATGTAATGTATATGTTCTCTGTAGAGAGATATCTGATAATTTCGGTCAGCCTGTCAACTGTATCTCTCTTTCAAATGATGGCAACTGTATGTTAGCAAGTTGCCTGGATTCAACCCTTCGACTTCTGGACAGGTAATTCTTTTGCAAATCTGTCATCTTGTTTCCTTTGCTTTTGGTAGCCCTTGTTATTCATACCGTCTTGTTTCTAATTGCTTTCAACAGGTCTAGTGGTGAACTATTGCAAGAATATAAGGGCCATATTTGCAAGGTTAGGATGGAAATCTGGTTCTGAGTTGTGGTCTATCGTTCTTATAGCAATCATTTTTCTCTGTTACAAAAAGTAAATTAATAAATAGGAACTTTTTTCTAGAAGATCCCTGCTTTGGCACTTTGATGGTTCTCCTTTTTCTTTTCTTGATTTTATCTGCTTTCCAGGTAAAGCAGTGTAATAGTCACTAATCATTCTGTTTAACTATTTTCTTCTTGAAGTCTTTCAAAACAGACTGCTGCCTTACAAACAGTGATGCACATGTGGCTGGCGGCTCGGAAGATGGCTATATTTACTTCTGGGATCTGGTCGATGCGTCAGTTGTATCCAGCTTCCGAGCGCATGATTTAGTGGTAAAGTATTTATTATAAATGCATCTAGCAGACTAGCTACAAAATATATTCTATTTTCTGTGGAGGATCCCAAATTTAATTAGTTAGGAAATATCATTATAATCTCTTGATTGGGGCTTATTCTATTCTTTTACACTATTTACTTCTGTTACCCCAGATATTTTTACTCAATCTATTCTTACCAATACAGGTAAAAGTGTTGGCTCAACATCCTAAGGTAGACCACCCACTAAGAAAGAACAGAGGAGTAAAAACTGAGAAAGGGAAAAAGGCTTTAGAGATAGACGTTCTGAGTGCTTCCAATGTCCTTTATCCAAGATATACTTGCAGTTAGGCTTCTAAATCTGCTTGCCCTGACACATTGCCCTCAGTTAGCTCCATTTCAAACTGTTAGCATTCATATGAAACAGCATTCAGTTGTAGTATGCTGTGTATTATGAACTGTATTTGACATAAAATACGTTATACTTTGGTTATTCCTTGTCACCTTGTTCTTACTATTCTTTGGAGTTGTCTTCTCATTGACAAGTAAATAAGTTGTTATCATCTAGAAATGGTACTAGCGCACCTACTGAAGTAGAAAGGAAATCCCTTCTGGCCAATATATGAAATATAATCATGCATTACTGCTCTCTTAACCTTCTCACTAATCAGTATATTCCAGTTCAGTCTGATGATTTCTTGATCCCATTGTGCATAAGATTTTCAGGTGCTACATGTTCAAACCCCTCTATCAAGTGCCCCGACATGCTATAGGAATGATACTAAAACTTTAACTATTTTGGGGTAATTTTAATGTGTGATGCTTCTCCGTTGCAGGTAACTAGCGTAAGTTATCACCCAAAAGAAAGCTGCATGATAACTTCTTCTGTAGATAGCACAGTCCGAGTTTGGAAAGCATGAGATATGGAACCAAAAGGGCATCTGATCTTTGCCTGATAACCGCACATGAAGAAAGTAGTGTACTCGAATCAAACCAGCTGTTTATGAGAGACAACCGCTCACTTAGTCATGCATGAGAATTATCGCAAAGCTAATACCTCAATATCATCACAAAGGTGTCAATCTGGGTTTTCATACTTACATATTGGTGAGCTTGACTCTTCCCATTTCAAGTTTGTAACTACTATTTATCTGGTGGTTCTGACGTAATCGTTCATTCATGATATGGTTGTGTTGTAGATTTATTAGAGAATTTTTATTTTTTGAACCTCTGATTTCACTTCTCCTTTTCTCTCCTCCCCCCATATGTGATTGGGGAGGGGTGGTGGTTTTCAGATAAGATAATGTAGCTTTTTGAGAGTATCCCTTTTTTCTTGATTATGTAAAACATGGAAAGTAGTTCCTCTAACTCAATGATAAATATAAAGAAAAACAAACATTTAAACTACCTAAATATTTCATTCTATTACATTCTTCCTTTTAAATATTTTTTCATCATATACTGTTCAAATCAAGCGTGAGTACATCGGTGGTGACTGGTGAGAGATGGAGGGGTAGTCTCCCACTCCATCGAACCAGACACAGAAATAGGTGATTAGCAAGACAATGAGCAACTTGATTTGCTGATTTCTTAACATACAACATAGGGAAAAAACGATAACTCTTAAGAGAAGAGTTTTATAATCAAAAGACTAGAGTAGAGCATCAAAATAAGAGTAATTCACCAAATTTCCATTTTTAGTGCATGCATGTATGATGATTAAACAAGTTATGACACTATTTGAAAGCATAACTGTTGAATTGAAAGAAATAGCGCTCACTAATCACTTTTTGTCCGTTGTCTTTGAGAATAAACACCATCATAAAATTTCAAGTTTCATACCTAAGGAACTCCACCAACAACGCGTTGGAGTTTCTCCTGTGAAATTAGAAACTCCATGACCCTATTATAAAGCATAGCTGTTGACCCATGGGCTTCCTTTTCTGGGCCTGTATCATTTTGCACATTACATAAGTATGATACAAATATTGGTTACAAAATTAAGATTTGACTTTGAAAAGAAGCATGAACAAACTTTATTTTATTTTCCTCTTTAAGCGACCTTAATTGTGTGTGAGAGCTGAAAAATTGCTTATTTTCCTCCTCTCAAAGTACAAGGCTAAATTTGATTATTATTTTTCTTAAAGCATGGGGATAAATTTACATGCTTAAATATAATTTTCTTATTTTTCTTTCGTCACATATTCATGTAAAATTATTTAGATAACTTACCTTTATATTCTTCTAAATATAGTCAAGTTTCAACTCTAGAAACTAAAATTCAGATTTAATATTTATCTGATTTTCTTAAAGTATAAACTAAAAAACAAATAAGCAAAAAAAAATTATCGGAGTCACATATAATAAAAATATTATAAGTGTCACCTTTAATTAAATTATAAATTGAAGTCTACTATTGAGCCATATGATTAATCGTGTTTAAATAATATCTATATTACTTAATTTGTTATGTCGTCCAGTAGTATTATTTTATTTTAGTTAAATTCTACCATTCCAAAAAAAGACAAGTACTTTTGTGACATAAATGTGATCTTATATTATATCACTTAAAACCAATAAGTAAGTTAAAGTCAATATTCTAATAAAATCGTACTAGGTAGGCTTGGAATATCTTTAAGATATATTTAACTTAACGGTCAGAAAGACTATATAATATAGCACTAAAATATAAAATGGAGAATTTTGTCAACAGCCAACTGATTCTCCTGCTTCGTTTATTAATTTAAAAAATAATCTTGGACAAATAGAAAGAAAGACTTTTTGCTATTGTTGCTGATCAGATTCGTTGTTATTTTTGGATGCGCATAAGATAAAAAAAATTTCAATGTAATATGCTTTAAATTATATTAAGCGAACCTTATATAATGACCTCGATCGAGAAAATATCAAGAAGAAAAAAAGTTAAAAGAAAATTTCACATATGAAATATTACTTACTCAATCAACTCGATCACTATTACGGGTATAATTGAATAGTGTAACATACTTTTCAATAGTTGGGGAAAATCTATGAGGTTATAACACATGGAAAAAGAATGATCAATTTTATCACATGTCAACTTACTAAAAATTGGACCGTTACAGCTGTTTTATTTTTGGCAATATTATATGGTGCCTAAATTAGCTGACCTTTTCACATTTTTGTTTTCTTTTGGTCTTATAATATTAATAATATTCCTTCTACTCAATATAACAATGAGCAACTTTTAGCACTAAAAAAAATATTATTATCGTAATTCCCTTTGCATTAAATAGTAGTGCAGAGGGACCCACCAAATATAGTGATGGATGAAAATTTAAATATTTCGAGTTTTAAATTTAAGGATTGATTATATTTAAGAATTTTATAAATCTTTACCTATTGTGTTAAGATGAGAGGTTTGAGAAGACGAAACCTCCATTGATGATGAGAGCATAAAGCTTGATTAGAGAAGAAGAATGAAATTATGCATTCTGAATTAATTGTGTACAATGGTAGTTCAGACTGGTATTTATACAGCTGGATGAGAAAAATATCTAAAGTCCTAACTAACTGAAAGAAAGCAACTACCACGTGATTTGACAGCTAACTAACTAATTCTAACAGACTTGATCAATTAATTAATATGACGTCTACACTAAATTAACTAATTCTAAATGTATACACACCACTTAATCTCAATACCCCCCCTCAAGTTGGAGGAGAAGTAATCGAAGCCAACTTGTCCAAAAGAGTGGAATGTTTAATCCCAGTAAGTGCTTTGGTAAGGATATCAGTTAACTGAGCAGTAGTGTCAATGTGATGCAATGTAATGAGCCCCTCTTGAAGCTTAGTCCTCACAAAATGGCAATCCACTTCAATGTGCTTCGTACGTTCATGGAATACAGGGTTCCTTGCAATGTGAATGGCTGCTTGGCTATCACAATATACAGGGAATGGTCCATTCTGAGGTACAGTCAGTTCCTCAAATAATCTTTGCAACCAAGTCAGTTCTCCCACTACCTTTCTCAAAGACCTGTACTCTGCTTCAGCTGAGGAAAGGGAGATTGTTTCTTGCTTCTTGGACTTCCAGCTAACAGGACTATCTCCCAACAACACAATATAACCACTAACAGACTTCCTTGAGTCAGGGCAGGCAGCCCAATCAGAGTCACAGTAGGCTTGTACTCCGAAATTGGTAGATGAGAACATAAAAACACCAAGAGTGGGATCCTTCTTGAGATACCTTAGCATGTGAAAAGCAGCTTGTAAATGAGGCTCCCTGGGATCCTGCATGTATTGGCTAAGAAGTTGCACACCATAAGCAAGATCAAGTCTGGTGTTTGTAAGAAAGTTCAGTTTGCCAACTAATTTTCTATAGTAAGTAGGATCATCCAGGGCTTTTCCTTCATGTGATCTTAGCTTAACATTTGGATCAAGGGGAGATGATAAAGGAGTCATGTGAACACAATTGAATTCCTTGAGGAGGTCTAACACAAACTTCCTTTGAGAAATCATAATCCCATCATCTTTGTACAAAACTTCCAGGCCCAAAAAGTAATGTAGTCTGCCAAGATCTTTGATTTTAAACTGACTGTCAAGGAACCTTTTAAGCTTATCAATTTCAGCAGTGTCTGTTCCTGTGAGTAGGATGTCATCAACATAAACACCTAGGAAGACAGTAGATGCACTTCTTTTTCTGTAAAACAAAGAGTAGTCATGGAGGGAATGAACATAGCCTCTTGTGTGAAGTGCTTCAGTCAATTTCTCATACCATTGTCTGCTAGCCTGTTTTAGACCATATAAGGACTTGTTAAGTCTACAAACTAGACCTTTGTGAGGGGTGGTCAGACCTGTTGGCACATCCATATACACTTCCTCATGTAGATCTCCATGGAGAAAAGCATTATTAACATCAAGTTGATATATATTCCATTGTTTCTTTGCAGCAGTGGCAATGAGTGCCCTCATAGTTGTCATCTTGACAACAGGTGAAAATGTCTCTGTATAATCTATGCCATGATGTTGAGTATATCCCTTTACCACTAGCCTAGCTTTATACCTTTCTATGTTCCCATCAGCCTTGTGTTTGACTTTATAAACCCACCTGCAACCAATGGACTTCTTACCCTTTGGCAGAGTTGTGAGAGTCCAAGTATTGTTGTCATGCAGGGCAAGGAACTCTTGTGTCATAGCCCTTTGCCATGCAGGATCCACAGATGCTTCCTCAAATGAGTTAGGTTCACAATCATGAGAAACATTCATTACAAAAGACTGACTGTCAGGATTCAAAACAACAGGAGAAATATGATGTCTAAGGGTAAAAAGGGCACTAAGGGATGAAGATAGTGGTGTGATGGATGTACCTGAGGATGGTAGTGTGTGAACATAGTCAGACAAATATGTAGGGACTTTATGAGTTCTTTGGGATTTTCTAAAGGGTGGTGTGGAGAGTGTATTAACAGGTAAAGTATGGTCAGCAGTAGGTACAACAAAAGGTATATTATTATTATCTAGTTGATCTTGATCACAATGCATAGCAGGGGAAGAATTATCATTAAAAGACATGGGATAGTCATGTAGGGTCACAGAATGAAAAGGGAATGATGGAAAATGAGTAGTATCCTCAGTCATGGCAAAAGGAAAAATGGTTTCATGAAAGATGACATCCCTTGAGATATGGATTTTCTGAGTGGACAGATTTAAGACTTTGTAACCCTTTGTAGCATAGGGATATCCAACAAACACATGTGGTACAGCTTTAGGTTCAAATTTGGTTCTGTGAGGTTTT